GTCATGGATGTTACTCCTTTGTCTCTACTTATCACAGATAGTTATAATTATTGGGACAACACTAGTGTAGGGGAAAGGTTTAATAAAGGAAATATATTTTTAAATTATATACTTTTCTATTATTTCAAACTTTTAAAAATAGAATATTTTATGTGTGATAGAAGAAAATAAATTTGATAAAAGTAATGGGCTTTTTTCATTCCAAGTATAGTTCATATACTTACAAATTTGAAGAAATAAATATTATTTATGATACCTGAATTGACTCACACTTTTTCCATGCTGCCATTAAATTGTCCAAATATTTTTTTTTTCCTGAAATTATACATTAATCCCATTCTTTATCACTTTTCAATTGAACTTTATATTTGTGCTCAACAGAATATCACAAGCACAGTTTGGTCTAGATCTATCAAAATACTTCTTCTGAGTCCATTTAAAAAATGAAAATTATTGAAACCAACCTCATACCTACTGAATCAACATCACTGGGAATAGCATCCAGAAATATTAACTTTAACAGTGTCCTAGGTGTTCTTGATATGTATTATATTTTGAGAACCATTGCTCTTACCCTAGAGTGCACATTGGATTTTTCTCCCTACTTTCACTAAATACTACTAAGACATAGCTTCTGAGATTTTAATGTAGTAGTCCTGTGATGATAACTGAACATAGATATAGATAGGTAGATAGATAGATAGATAGATAGGTGGATATATAGATAACTTTGAAGAGTTATCCAAGTAGTTCTGTTGCTTATCCTTTACTGTATAGAACATGTAGTGGCCATGAATTTGACTAACATCCCAACATATCTTTTAACAATCTGGTTACATTTTGTTAGTTTCCTATACAATGAGTCCTACCTTTACAAACTAGGACTTAAAATAACAATACAGCAACAAACAGACATATATTTCCCAGGTGCTTTTGCAAACACATAGACTAAGTCTCACTAATCAGACTCACCCAGCTAAGATTAATGAGGAAATAAACAGCATGTGGAGATATCACAGTTTGGTGGGGGGAGGTAAGAGCAATTTTTGGATAAGTTCTTTAAAAATTAGAGACCAAATATTTGGCTGAAAAGTATAATATCTAGAAAAATTAAGATTATCCAACGACCACTTTTATGAAGTATCATTGTTGTCAATTATCATTGTCAAATATATTCAATTAGGGATGAAGGATTGAATTGTTAAAAATGTAAGAATTTAAAATGTAGGTATTCCCCTACATTTGTTATTCACTCACATTAGAAGCTAATAACCTTAGAGATCTAGTATCAGTTTACCTGAGAGAAATATAAAATCTCTTGATTTCAAGATTTAACAGGAATGTACATCAGATGTTCCATAAACCTCAATACTGTTTTTATTTCTTCTCTTCCTTTTTTCTTTTTGAACTGCAAAATATTCCACATAATTGATGTACACAGCTTGATGAGTTTGGAAAGAAGTATACACTTGTGAAACTATCATCACAATATCTGCCATAAACCTACCCATCCCCTCCAAAAGATTTCTCTCACCCTCTTATTTATTTATACAAAAATTTTAGTTTTTATTTTTAACTTAAAAACACGTAATATAAAATCTACCTTCTTAGCAAATTTTTAAGTAAACAATAGAGTGTTGTTAATTGTAGACACTATGTTATACAGTAGATCTCTAAGACTTATTCATTCTGGATAATCAAAACTTTGTACCCTTTGACATATACCCCCCTATTTTCCCCTCCTTTTTAGCCTCTTGCAACCACCATTCTACTCTTTACTTTTATAAGTTTGACTACTTTAGATTTGTAATATAAGTGGTATCAAGTAGTTTTTGTCCTTCTCTTTCTTTCTCATTTTACTTAGCATAATGTCCTCCAGTTTCATCCATGTTGTCACATATAACAGTATTTCCTTCTCTTTTAACACTGAATAATATTCTGTTGTGTACATATACCACGTTTTCTTTATCCACTCATCTGTTGATGAACATTTAGGTTGCTTCCATATTTTAGCTATTGTAAATAATGCTGCGATGAGCATGAAAGTACAGTGATCTCTTTGAAATTTTGATTTCATTTCCTCTGGATATATAGCAAGATGTGTGATTGTTGGATTATATGGTAGTTGTATTTTTAATTTTTGAGGAATCTCCATATTGTTTTCCATAGTGGCTGTACCAATCTATATTTCCACCAAATGTGCACAAGGATTCTCATCTCCACACCTTTGCCAACATTTGTTATGTTTTTTTTTAAATAAAAGCCATCCTAATGGATATGAGGTGCTATCTCATTGTGGTTTTGATATGCATTTCCCTAGTTATTAGTGATGTTTATTACCTTGTTTTATATCTGCTGGCATTTTACAAGTCTTCTTTGGAATAATGGCTACTCAATTTCTTTGCCCATTTTTTTTTATTTGGGTAATTTCTTTTTCTGTTGAATTGCTCTTGACCTTTGTGACATAATAGGAGTGTATATCAAATACTCCATGAATCTCACTACTGATGTCTATTTCTTATAGCAAAGACAATACGCAATTTCCTTCTCTAAAAAGGAATAAATCAGAATTTCTTCCAGGTTGCTTGTGAGACTACTGAATACGTTTTTTTGAAAAAATCCTCTTATTTAAACTAATTTATATCAAATTTAGTATATGCATGTACAATTTTTGAGGTCAAAAGAAACATTAAAATGTATTCTTTTTAACCAAAGTAAAAAATAAAATTGGTAGATGTTGTTCTTTCCAATCATTTGAGACAGAGACTGTAGATCATAAATATTTTAAACTATTATAAAGAAAACAGAGAAATACTCAGAATAATTTTTACTCAAAATCACAAAGCTATCTTCTTTTAAAATTACTTTAGAAGAAACTGTTGAAGGGAATGGAGAGCATCAAAACAAAGTGGATACATAAAGCCAGGACCATTCTTTTCATAAGGATTTAAAAGTTAAAATATTTTGATTCATAAAAAAGAAATTATTTATTACATAAATAGGTTAAATAGTGATGATTGTGCAGGTACAATATATTATGGATCAAGATTATATACATCTAGATACTGAAAAATATGCCTTATGTTACAGGTCTGCGTTGGCTTAACTAAGACCTAGAAATCATCTCACCTGACTGAAAAAAAGATTTTGAAAACATGTAGAGAGGACAGATTCACTGACCTGTATAATCTCCATAATTTCCCAGGTCATATCTGTCTTGACTCTCAGACTCCTCTAAGTAAGAACTAGAAATCAAAAAATTTTTAATTCGCTTAAATTATCCCTTATTCCATACATTCTATTTTCTTTCCATTTTTTCAGCTCTTGGCAAGATGGAAACTGTCTTTATCTGCTAGACTTTGGGCCTAAAATAGATTAGGGCATTTACCTTTTGTCTATACAAACCTGGCTAATCTAGCCACTACCCAAGCTTCAAGGAATTACAGAGCCCTCGCTTATGAAAAATATGTGATAATGTTTTGGAAAATAATACAGAGCTTGTAAAAATGATGGTTGCCACTCTTCTTTCCCAAGTCTTTTCAAATACTGTTAACATAAATGCACCCCACTCCTTCCAGATGAATTTGGACTCAGCCACATTTCATACAATAACACATCTTGCACATTGGTACTGGGCTTGAAATCTTTGGCTTGAATCTGTTACAAACATGACTGTATCACCTTAGGTATTGGCATACTATTCTCCCTATCTTCTGGAGAGATTGAAATGTGTAACAAAAGACTTAAGTGGTAATAATAAATTTTTGAAGACAAAGTCAGAGGAAGAGTTAAATTGAATCTTTTGTGAAGATTGATGAATGAAAAATCATAATGATTTATTGCAAGGTAGGAAGGACTTGTCCAGCTGAGGACCAATTTAGTGAATGCCTAAGGAGATGTGTAACGAATTCTTCTATAGTATATTGAACACAGGAAAAGGAAAAACAAAATTTACAAATATTTTTTGATAACTATGAGATATGATCTATGTGAGGAATTTATTTTATATATATACACATAGGTTTATCTCATGTAATACTCTGAACAACCTGTGTATTATTTGGCAGACATCCTTTGAGGTCTTGAATGTCTGATAAAAACCAAATAGATAAAAATTCTAAGGGCGAAAATCAGTAAACAAGCAAAATCAATTAATATAATATACAATACATGAGAGTTTAATAAGTACTTTGGAGAAATAATAGAGAAAAAAGATAATTGATGCTGGTGTTAGTGGGACATGAAAATTTTTAAAGTGTGCTGTACTGCATACATCTATTAGCATGGATGATTAATTTTCTTCTCCTATTGTGCATCTCTGTACAACAGCATCTAGAAAGCTAAAAATTACATTTCCCAAACATCCTTGAAACTAAAATTCTGGGTACAAAAAATGGACCAATTTGGTGCATTTGGGTGAGCTTCGTAAGGGAGAAATGAGGTGAAGACCATTTCTCTGCAGAGTCTTTGCTCTTTTCTAAGGAAAAATTATGGTTACAAAGTTCTAGATTTAGTCATCAATTTCATTCCCGTGTATCAAGAGTTGTAGTGGAAGCTGAATTCTAGGAGGCATTTCTAAAATCATAGACTACAGCCTACTTCCTCAGTCTCTCAAATTGTTTTTTCTAAACTTATTTCCATGTATTAAATCCTTTTCTGAGTGTGTGTGGGGGAGGGATAAATTGGGAGATTGGGATTGACATATATGCACTACTATATATAAAATAGATAACTAATAAGAACTTTCTGTATAGCACAGGGAACTCTGCTCAACACTCTGTAATGGCCTATGTGGGAAAAGAATCTAAAAAAAAAGAAAAAAAGAATGGATATGTTTATATGTATAACTGATTCACTAGGTTGTACAGCAGAAACTAACACAACATTGTAAATCAAATCTACTCCAATAAAATTTTTTTTTAAAAAATCCCTTTCTGTTTAAATATTTAAATTGGTTGTCTTGAGTACTACAGGACATTAACAAAGGCCCCACTGAGAAGATGACTTGTGATCAAAGACTATGTGGATATGTGAGAAAGAGCTCTCCAAGAAGATGGAACAACAAGGACCAAGATCCTGAAGTAAGAGAACACCTGACATATTCAACAACCAAGAGAGTCTGAGGGACCAGCGAAAAATTAGCTATATATATATATATATATATATATATATATATATATATATATATATATATATGAGATGAATGTAATTTTTCATGAAGAAGAAGGCTAAATATTGACAAGATGTAAGTTCTTCCCAACTTGACCTATAGATTCAATACAATCCCAATCAAAATCCTAGCAAATTATTTTATGAATATTAACAAATCAGTTCTAAAGCTTATATAAAGAAGCAAAAGATCCAGTATTGGAGGAGTAGAATAAAGTTAGAGAACTGACACTACCCAACTTCAAGACTTACTATAAAGTTACAGTAATCAAGACAGTATGGTATTGGTGAAAGAGTAGAAAAATAGATCAGTGGAACAGAATAGAGAGCACAGAAATAGACCCACATACATTTATTCCACTGATCTTTGACAAAGAACCAAAAGTGATACAATGGAGCAAAGATAGTCTTTTCTATAAAGGTAACAATTGGACATGCACATATGAAAAAAAGAACAAAAACAGAATCTAGACACAGACTTTATACTCTTTACAAAAATTAACTCTGGAGTTTTCCCCAGCTTTGGGTGGTGGCTGCTGCTGGGCTCCGGCTTCCCAACGGCGGAGGGCAAGGCGGCGTGGACAGCGGCCCCGGCACCCCTCGCCCCGCCGCCCGCAGCCGCGCGCCCGCCCGCCCGCCGCGCCCCGAGCTCTCCGCTCTTCGCCTCAGTGCCCGGCTGCCGCCGCTGCGGCCCAGAAAGCAGCCCAGATGCAGGCCATCAAGTGTGCGGTGGTGGGAGACGGAGCTGTAGGTAAAACTTGCCTCCTGATCAGTTATACGACCAATGCCTTTCCTGGAGAGTATATCCCCACTGTCTTTGACAACTATTCTGCCAATGTTATGGTGGATGGAAAACCGGTGAATCTGGGCTTGTGGGATACAGCTGGACAAGAAGATTATGACCGATTACGTCCCCTATCCTATCCGCAAACGGATGTATTCTTGATTTGCTTTTCTCTTGTGAGTCCTGCATCATTTGAAAATGTTCATGCAAAGTGGTACCCTGAAATGCGACACCACTGTCCCAACACTCCTATCATTCTGGTGGGGACGAAACTTGATCTGAGGGATGATAAAGACACGACTGAGAAACTGAAGGAGAAGAAGCTGACACCCATCACCTACCCGCAGGGCTTGGCCATGGCCAAGGAGATCGGTGCCGTCAAATACCTGGAGTGCTCGGCACTCACGCAGCGAGGTCTTAAGACGGTGTTTGATGAAGCTATCCGGGCGGTTCTCTGCCCGCCCCCCGTCAAGAAGAGGAAGAGAAAATGCCTGCTGTTGTGAATGTCCGGGCCCCTCCCGCCTGTCCCCGTCCCCCAGGACCCTTTGTACGCTTTGCTCAAACGGTGGAGCCTTCGCACTCAATGCCAAGTTTTTGTTACAGATTAGTTTTTCCATAAAACCGTTTTGAACCAATCAGTAATTTCTAGGTTTTGTTTGTTTAAAGTGTAAGAGTTCAAACTTTCACATCCTATTAAAGTTTAGCCCTAAGATGACGAGCTTCCTTAAAGCCTTATTTCTCAAAGCGCCTATTCTTGCTCAGATTAAGAGTTGCCAAAATACCTTGTGAACTAAGTTGCATTGTTGGACTAAGAACTCTAAGCACTAAACTGTTCAAAGACCTTTGTCTGGAAGAGACTAGCTTCTGAGGCAGGAGATGCAGACGCTCGCTAATGAGTTTCAGACGCGAAGAGCAGTACAGCCTCCTTCCTGAAACGTTGTCATTTAATGCATCCTGATTTACCAGCCCACGTTCACTACCTAACACTGTACTGTACATCATAATGAACGAGTGTAACAGCTCAGCTCTTTGGATCAATCTTTTTGATTTCGTAGTGAGATTTTTAAAACAAATTAGTGTATTAGCTTTTGTGAGATTTTGAACAGAGCTTTTACTCCCATGTTCCCTCCGATGAAGCATTCTGCTCTGGCCGTGGGTCCACTGGGTGGAGTGTGTGGAACACTTGTGATCAGAGGATGAAGACAGTATTTTAACAAAATATGGAGATTAATTTACACTACATTGTATATGTAATAATTAAACTATTAAAAGTGTCACGGGTAAATGTTTTAAAAGGTTAATTTCTGTCAAATGCAGTAGATGATGAAGAAAGGCCGGTATTATCCGTAAGTGTTTTCTTAAGCTTTTCCTTTTCCTTAAACATGCCCATCCCTCCTGAAATTGGGCACTTAATCCATCTTTGACCTCATCATTCTCATAGTTGCTAACTTAGTAAGTGCTTTTCTTATAGAACCCCTTCTTAATGAGCAATATGCCTCCTTGTATTATAAAATCATTCTGAATATGCATTAGAAAATTTTTTTTGTAGATTAGTAAAAGTGCATTCCTGTTTTCATGTTACCTTATCCAAAGCTAGTAAGTGCTTTCCTTGGTTTTCTAGTAACTAGGTGTAAAAATCCTATGTTGCAGCTTTACAGTTTTTAAAATACTTAGATATTCTTAAACTGTAAACCCTGCCAGATCAACGACACTGCACCTGGACTAATAACACTGACCGCCTCTTGCCTCACAGTGTACACACGCTTCCTGTCCTTGCCCTAATGATGTTCCTTGGGGTCTGTGAGGTTCTGTCAACCCCGTGCTCGTGCTAACGAAGTTCTGTACAACTTACCCACTGGCAAGAATATGAGCTTGGACCTTTCAACCACTAGAAAAAAATTTTTTAAATTGACAGTTGCAGAATTGTGGAGTGTTTTTACATTGATCTTTTGCTAATGCAATTAACAGTATGTTTTGCATGTATGACTTAATAAATCCCTGAATCATGAAAAAAAAATTAACTCTGAATGGACCTAAATGTAAAATGCAAAAGAATAAAACTCCTAACAGGAGGAAACCTACATGGTCTTAGGTATGGTGATGACTTGTTAGATACAACACAGATACAATCCATGAAAAGATTAATTGATAAGCTAGACTTTATTAAAATCAAAAACTGCTCTGAGAAGGACAATGTCAAGAAAATGAGAAGACAAGCCACAAACTGGGAAAATATATTTGCAAAGATACAACTGATAAAGGACAGTTATCTGAAATATATGAAACCCTTAAAACTCATCAATAAGAAAATACATGACCCATTTTAAAAAAATGGGCCAAAGACCTTAACAAACAGCTCATCAAAGGAGAAATAAAGTTGAAAAATAAGCAAATGAAAAGATGTTCCACATAATATGTCATCAGGAAAATGTAAATGAAAACAACAATAAAGTACCAGTACACACCTATTAGAATGGTAAAATCTGGAACACTGAAAAAAACAAATACTGATGAGGGTGTGAAACAAGAACACTCATTCACTGCTGGTGAGAATACAAAATGGTATAGCCACTCTCAGTTTCTTACAGTTTCTTTCTTACATACTCTTACCATACCCTCCAGCAATCCCACTCTTTCATATTTACCCAAATGAGATGAAAACTTATGTCCACACAAAAATTTGCACATGGATGTTTATAGCAGCTTTATTCATATTTGCCAAAACTTGGAAGCAATCTAGATGCTCTTCAGTAGACTAATAGATAAATAAACTGTGATACATTCAGACAATGGAATATTATTCAGTGATAAACAAAGAACTAGTAAACCATTAAGAAGAAACTTAAATGTATATTATGAAGTAAAATATGTCAATCTTAGAAAGCTAAAAACTTTAGCTTTTATGTCCAACTATATGACATTCTGGAAAAAGCAAAACTGGAAAAGACAGTAAAAGACTGGAAAAGTCAGTAAAAATCTCAGTGGTTGCCAGGGATCGTGGGTTGAGCGTTAACTAGGGAGAACACAGAGATTATTTAAGGCAGTGAAAATACTCTATATAATACCATAACGATTAATACATGTCATTATGCATTTGTTCAAATGCATAGAATATACAACACTAAGAGTAAAACCTAAGGTAAACTTAGGATTTTGAATGATTATGATATGTCGATATAGGTTCATCAATTGTAATATATGTAAAACTGATATGGGATGTTGATATTGGAGGAGACCATCTGGGAGCATGGAGTACATTGAAAATCTCTGTAACTTTCCCTCAAATTTGCTATTTATGACCTCTCAAGGCCACATTAATAGTGTTTGCTTTTACTTGAGTGAAATGGTAAGCCATTAAAAGGATCTGTTGTGATCTTTTATATTAATAAGAATGCCTCTATACCATTGCTGTGTTGAAGAAAGACTAATGGAAGACAAAGGTGGGAGTAGGAAACTAGTGTGAAAGCTATTACTGGCATCCAAATGAGCAACAGAGGTAGCTTGGACCAAAATAATGGCAATGGGGTAGTGAGAAGTAAACAGATTCTGAACCAAAAATTGAAAGGATTAAGTGTTGTGAAATTAAGTCAAGGAAGGCTCCAAAATTTTGGCTTGAGTAGTTGGGAGGAAGGAGTTTCTATCTACTGACTTGGGGAACAATATAGACAAAAGAGGTTTGTGGGAAAAGATCAGAGAAGAGCATACTGTACATGCACTCTGGCACCTACATATTTTGTGCCAAACCAATTGCTTACAAGCTGCATAAACTTGGGTGATTTATTCAACTTCTTTATATCTCTATTTCTTCATTTATAATAGCAATGACTTCATAGACTTATTATAAGGGATAAGTCAACTAATATATGTAACATTATTAGAGTATTTTCTGGTACATAGTAAGCATTATATAGATGACAACTGTTATTGTTATCAGGTGCTAGGCTTTGGGTATTTAAAATCTGAGATGTCTATTACACATACAATTGGAGATGTTTAATAAGAAATTGGACAATTAAATTTAGAGTTCATGGGAAAGGTCAATGATAGAGATATTAAGTTGAGCATCAATAATTGGAGGTTACAAAGTTAAGAATTTCCACCTTCAAAGAACATCAAATGCATGCAACTTCGTGCATACTGAAGTTTCACAAATACCATCTAGTCATATATTTAAAGGCACAAAACTAGAGGAAATAGCCAAAGAAACAATGGTATGTAGAAAGACAAGTGTTTCAAACACAGATTCCTATAACACTACAATGTTAATTCAGTCAAGTTGAAAAGAAAACTCAAAGGAAACAGAATGAAGATTATTTGCCAGTGAAATAGAAAAAAAAAGTGAAGAAAGTTAAGTGTACTAGAAGCCACGTGAAGAAAGTATTTCAAGGATGAGAGAGTGTTCAACTATGCAAGTGGGGCTGAAAAGTCAAATAAGATGAAGGTCATTTGGTGTCATTAATTAGAACAATTTTGGTTGAATATGTGAAAATGAAACCTAATTGGCATAGGTTCAAGAAAGAATGGAAGAAGATAAAATGGGGACAATCACTTTAAAAATTTTTGCCATAAAATAGATAGGATGGTAGCTCATGAGGGACTTGGTGCCAAGAGAGAAGTTCTATTTTGTGTTGTTTGTTTAACAAGGGAGAAATTATAGCATATTTTCATGTATATAAAAAATAAGCAGGAGAAGATGAAAAAAAGAATTTCTAAAGGCTGAATCCAAAATGAGTGATTGAGGGTGGGCTTTAGTTCACTGAAGGCAGGATTAGCGCTAGTTAAGAAAATGAATGGAGCACTGCTGACCATAAAAGGGGCAGAGATGTAGGTAAGTTGTTAAATGTGTTCTAGGAACATCGACAAGTTTTCTTCTGACTGCTTCAGTGAATTATGATGCCAATTCACTACATGTAAGAAAGGACAAGGAAGTATAGGAAGTCTGAACGAAGACTGCACATCATGAAACAGTGATGGGAAAGTGGGAAAGAGAAAGGCAGGGAAATCCTGTATTATTGCTGGACATCCCACTGTCATTAGTGATTCAGTATTTAGTGGAGCCTGGTCAGTGTGTTTGTGCCTTTTTTCTCCAAACATCTTCATCTTCATGGTTACTGATGCAGAATAAGAAAGAGTTTGGTTTGAACAGGATTATGACTTTGCTAAGTGAAAATGCCAAAACAAGATGGGAGCAAAGAACTGAGTGAATGTTCACAGTAATTGTTTAATATGAAATCCATGAAAGGTAAAGCTAAAGAAGAAAGCTAAAGAGGACATGACATGGTTAAAAAGTGGTTATATCAATTGATGTGACATTTTTGAGCAGAGGATTGTGGATTGAGGTTCTGAGGGAGTGAGGTAAAATAAAGGAGATGGTGTCAGAAATTTGAGGCTTGAAGTTGAGATATCACTTTTATTAGTGATCACCAGACCTATGGTATAACAATGGGAATGAGTGAGTGAATAGAGGACAAAATATATGGAGAGGAGGAGGTTCTGGATCAGAGATCCAGATGTTGATTATTGATGGAATGGTATTGGAGAGAAAAAGTGATTGAGCCAGAAAGTAAAATCTTAAAGTAGAGTACCCTAGGGATTAGAAGATGACAGATAAGAGAGAGTGAAGTAGACAGTCTAGTTT